ATATTTTAGATTTTAGGTAGTTAAACATATAAATATAATATAGGAAATTCATGAAATGAAATAATGTATAAATTGAGCTTCCCAGAACATGTTGATTTCAATATTTTATTTATTGATTAATAAAGTAGGGTATGGGTATTCCCGAACTTGAACGTCAACAAGGGAAAAATTTGGACTTCATCACATATATTTGGTTAATTAGCAAGAATGAATGAAATTGAACGTTGTTTTAATTCTTCATTAATGAAAATGAACGTGTAATCTATTAATTTTGGAAAGGTACAGGTTACAGGAAAGATTGTGGACATGGCCTAGATACTACAGCTGAATGCTCAAGAACGCCATTATCGAATATTTCAAATTGTGAGATTTCATTTCCCTATTATATTCCCATTTTCATTTACAATTGTAATGAATGACCATAAAAACTGAAATGAAATATGTTTTCAGTGTCCTTCACACCACTTCAAAATGGCAGAACCATAATATCACGTACATCATTACATGTGCTGCCCTCTGGAAAGCACATAATACGTAATGGTGTCTCTGAAAGTTCTACAAACTCACAGTCAGTTTGTTCTGACGACGAAACTCTATCAGTTAATCTACAAGGGACGTCTGTGAACTTAATGAGTGGTACGAATGTTTTTCATGGTTTTGAGCTAATGTTTTCATATACGGTGAAACAACCATTTCTATCTAACGTTTTATGACAATTGTAGAATGTCTTATTTGCATACAGAAAATACTCAAGCTCAGAATAATAAGAACAGTCACACGGGTACTGCTCCAGTTCGCTCACGAACACCATTGAGCAATGTTACGAATGGTATGATTACCTATTTCACTATACATTTTTTATTACAATCTGAATGTTCATAAATTTCAGTTATATGATTCTAACTGAATTTTTCAATTACAAGAGTCTTAACAAATATTTATTTATGTTATAGGTTTTCGGGACATATCTAATTCTATAGCGCATGCAAATAAACGTAGAAGAGTGCGTCATCTTTCTACGTTCGGAAAACACAGAATGCACGACGGTCTAATTGAGAAACTTAGTTTTGATTTGAGTGATGGTAAGTTAATTTGTTTTAATTGCATATTAAATATTAATATTCATATTAATTATCAATTTAGGCTAACATTATATTATGTGAAATGTGCTCAATGTTTATATTTTTTTTCTTTATTTGTTATAGTAGACGATGCTGCATCTGGAAATGATTTGAAGAGAGGTGATTTTCTTTCGTTTTCTTCATAATAGTGACTGAAGTGTATATATTTTTATCAATTTTTTGTAATTAAAATATCTTCTTCGCAATCTTTTGGTTTGTTTGAAATTATTGTCAATCATGTTACTTCTATGCTGTTTGAATATATTCGAATGTATAAATTACAGCAGATGATTATCCTAATAAAACTCACCGAATCATTAGATTCACAATTGTGTACCATTACGTTTCAGGTGCCATATCATATTTCCAACTTGTGCATAAGATTAAAGCAATGTAGATAGTTTATATCAATTTCATACAAACTGTATAGAGTTTTATTAGAGAGTAAACGGGATGCATTAAATCTAGGTAATTAAGTGTAGATTAAGCACTTATCGAAATTTCTGTTCTGTATAACATGTTGAAATTTTAAATTCTTTACTCTTCATTATAGGAGAGGATGTGGAATCTGAAGTTCTTTTAAATAAAGGTAAAGTTCTTCCACTTTCATTATGTTTAGAGTAACTTCCGAGACTTTTCCTATACGAATTTTACACTGATACATATTTTATGCAGAATATTGGGATATTGGAGATCCTGTTTATAAATGTGAATATTGTGGGGCTTCATTCTGGTATGATGAGAGGATTGGGAAGCATTATACAACATCGAAACCAAAGTTTTCTTTGTGCTGTATGCAAGGAAAAGTGGAGCTACCGAAGATGCGACATCCTCCGCAAACCCTTTCTGATTTACAAAATGGGGCAAGCGAGAAAAGTAAACATTTTCTTCAAAACATTCGTTTGTACAATACAATGTTTTCTTTCACTTCGTTGGGTGGAAAGATTGATTCTACTGTAAACCAAGGCAAGGGACCTCCTATTTTTCGGATGCACGGCCAAAATTATCATAGGATTGGAAGTTTGTTGCCTGCTGAAGGTTGCCCACCGAAGTTTGCTCAACTCTATATTTATGATACAGACAATGAAATTTCAAATCGAATTCAAGCTGTTTGGTAATTATCGTATTTAGTGTTCTGTAGTTAGAATACTTATTACAGTTTAATTTTATATAAATACTAAAACTTTGTATTCATTTGCTAACCCAGCCCAAACACAGAAGTCAACAAGATTCATGCTGAGATTGTTGCTAACTTGAAGGCAATGCTTGATGAGCACAATGTGTTAGTAAAATCATTTCGAATGGTGAGGGACACAATTCGTCAAAATGTTTCGTCCGATCTGAAATTGAGGCTCATTGGAAGGAGAGAACAAGATGGTCGAAGGTGCAATCTTCCATCTGTCTCTGAAGTTGCAGCATTAATTGTTGGAGA